GATGCGTATCTCAGTTTTTGTACTAGTCTGTTGTAAAATAGTGGTTTTTCTGTGTGCTGTGAAGGGGCATACATGTTGACTAATGTATTAATGTCTCTCTTGTCTGTAATGTTGAATGTCATCGTTCTTCCCTCGCTAACCTTGACGATGTGAGTTATTTCCAATCTATCCGATGTCTGTGTTATTCCTTCTCGTTTACAATGTTTGCCTTAAAGGAAATGACTGTTTTATAGCCGTCCTGTTTACGTCATCTTTCCCAGTACAAGAATTCTAGCCATATACTACCCACGTTCGGTACCGCGACCGTGTATCATTGTTTGTGTACTTATGTGTTTATTCGCTTTCGTCACTGTACATTATTCATTGGCACATTGTATTAACTGTGTTAACTGTGTACCCGCACACGATCTACCATACTGTAAGTTGATGATTTTTAATGATTTTTTTTTTTGTTTTGTACTTGCATTATCACTAAATTAAATCTTTTTAATGTTCTTCTGACCCTGACAAACGCGTCAGTTACAAAGTCGAGCTTTGCAAATGAGCAAAAGGAGGCCACATTTTAGATTATTGAGTCGGAAAGACACTGTGGTAAAAGTCTTCACAGACGGCTTCTATATTACAAGCGAAAAGGTGCATGGCTATGGTACATTCATACTGTACCCAAAAGGGTAGATCCTAATTGAGGAGATTTTAGGCTAAAATGACACGAATAACTCTGCAATTGACGCAGAGATCGAAGCCATATGGTTCGGCTTAAAACAAGTGCACCTAAGACTAGCTAAACTTAAAACACTTCCATCCATCCAAGTGTTCACTGACTCACAATGTGCTCTCGAAATTGTAAAGAGGCACTGTTTTGCCACGAAAAGGGACCATGCAATTTTGAATATCGTACAAGACATACAGTCACATGGAGGTGAAGTGGCCCTTCAATGGATCCTGTGATATGCAAATATCCCCCCCCCCCACACAAAAAAGAACCGATTATCTTGCGAAACAAGGCTCTATCAGCCAAAAACTAAAAGGAAAATTACTCAAAATTTATTCAATTTTTGAAAATCGTACAAGCAATACAGTCCCAGGGAGGTGAAGTGGCCCTTCAATGGATCCTGTGATATGCAAATATCCCCCCCCCCCCACACAAAATAGAACCGATTATCTTGCGAAACAAGGCTCTATCAGCCAAAAGCTAATAGGAAAATTACTCAAAATTTAGTCAAGGTCTTGATTAAAGTCCTCTTTCTAGAAAAAGTAGCTAATGAAATGGAAGAAAGGATACACATCCAGGACACATTATCGGAATATGCCCAAAACAAACCGAAAGTGCTATCAATGGGGGCAGCTTAAACGCTACCAGCAGATCCTCATCGTGCAGATACGGATAGGGCTCTGCCCATCCTGCAGCTACCTGAATGTGTTTCACCCATGGCGGAACTCGAGCTGCCATCCCTGTGGACATTCGCCGGAGACGGTCGAGCACTTACTATCCGACGCTAACGACTGGTGTGGCTTGGGTGCTCCCAGCCAACCAAATTGTCTGTCTGATTAACGGCACAAACCAGCAGATGCAGCAGGTCTTTGTCGTAATTGCCAATGTCATAAAAGATTAAAATCTCGGTCCCAAAAAAATTGAATGTCATTATAATAATACTACAACTCATTTAAGTATATATTATTGTCATAGTTCTTCAATGTCGTTCATAATGGGGTACGAATGCTTAACAAAACTATATTCTTTTTGCCAAGAAAAGAGGAAAGGAGCTTTGTTACGCTTTTATATAAGTGCTCGCTGCTATGATTTTTATGTGTAAACAGGGATTAGATGACATTGCCATGAATTGAAAGGGGGTAAAAATAACAGACTAATAGTAGGCTATAACTATATCTTTAAAAAAAATAATTATGCTTTGGGCGGTGGCGTAGGTAGTGTTGGTGTCACCCGATGCACCATCTCAACAAAAGATTTCTGTTTTGTTAAAATAAATCCACATTATAACAATGACTAAGGACACATTAATTGAAGATCAGGAGATAAATGTATTTATAAACTGTAACACGTACTCTGGTATCAATGGAAAGTTTTAATTCTCATCATTTAGATAAGTATAGCTGCCTATCAGACACGAAGGTTACTTAAAACGTCAATAGTCTTTGAATCATGGTCAGAACTGTGTTTTTCTGACCTATTTATAGGATCACCTTATTTCTGGCACATCAATGTTGAACTTTTAATAAAATACGCATATGGATGGGTTACATGTGTGGACAATGTACGTGTGGTCGATAATCCTTTAATGACATTCAGTTAGACCGAGCCGTGAAAGTCTGTAAATATGGAATTTTTCAATTTTTTTTCGTACCCCGAGATGATGTCGCCCGGTTTGTTCCACACCCCACACCCTACTAGCTACGCCCCTAGTTTAGCATATGCTTTCAATAACCCTAAGAAAAATCAAACAGGCTTTAAAAACGTGAGAGTTGTACAAATGTAAACTACCATGCTTTACAAATCTAATTCTAAATGATCGTGCTTAGAAACGTAAACGTTTAAAGAAAACTATTTTAAAAAAATGCTGAACATTCATACTTTCGAAAGTTTTTTTTTTTTAATTTTAAAAAAATAAGAAGAAGGATATCGGTTAATTTCCTTTTGGTTGGCAACGAAGCTTTTAGTTGAAATAGAGAAGTTTGCTTTAAAAATTAAAAAAAAATATAAGCTATTTATGCCTTATGTTCAATTTTAAAGCAAAAGCGATGTTTAGGTCGACGCCACACTATCTACCCGGAAAGTTTTGACGGATGCGAGTGGTGGTAACGTTGTGAGATCGCCTCACAGGCGGCATTTAGTCAAGCTGAAGCACTGATGCAAAGAGTTTATTTTTTAACTGTCATACAAATAACGTATTAGCGATATAGAGAAAAGTTAACGCGTCGTACATTTGTAATAGTTTAATTAACCTAACAAAACAACTGAAAAAAATTTACTGTCTAACAGTATTATTTAAGAAGTCAGTTTGTTTAAATAATGTAATGAAATAAAAGAGGGGGTGTAAATGGATCGTAAGAGAGTTGGGTATGTGTTGGGGGTAACGCTTATGTCACATGTATCACTAACAATGTTCTTCTCTTTTCAGTCAAGACTTATAACCAACCCGAAAACGTCTTCATTGAATACTTTTTCTTTAAAAAACAATAATCTTATGAAAAAAAGAAAAGTGTTTTCAAACTATCCGTCCAGTGTACAGGGGTTCTCAGTCTCAGGTGGATCTCTCGTTTGAATGTGGTCCCCAAAAAGCCAACTGAAGCTTTTTCAGTGTTGTTTTGAAATCGGGTGGTGGTGAAAATCTTGGCTCAACCAAGGTGGTACTAGACCTAGCTGGGCCCGTGCAAGACGTAACAATGGGGGACCATAGCAAAGCTTAAATACATTGTTCACAAATAATGAAATAAATATCTTGAAATTCTGAATTCCATAAGTCCCTATTTGTAGCGCTAACAGGAAACATAATAATACTTGAAATCCAAGACTTACAATTCTGTTTGAAAGTTTTGTTCGCATCATCACATAGACCGTGTTTTCGTAAGTTGCCTTGCTACGTGTTGCAGCAGTGATATATTTAGCAAGAGACATCTAAAAATTTACCAGTAACCTTTGTATTTTTTCCTTCCTAAATGTAACGGCACTTGTGACGAAATTATCCACACATGATCCAGATTTTCTACGTCAAACAGAAAACGGGGTAAGTCCGTTTATTAAATGTTTAACACATTATACGATAACTTCGTTCAATGTCCGAGTAACTTCATGAATGTTTATAAATAAATTGACATTTTTAACAAAATAAATATAATAGTTTTGAGGAAGTTTGGTATAGGAAGCGTGGCATTCTTGCTTGTACTTCGCAGTATTTATATATGTATATATATATTTTTTTAAAAAAAATTTTTTGAGGGGGGTGAGGGATGGGTGATGTAGTCGATAAGAAATGTATGGATGCAACAGTGGAAGAGGTTTATATTTTCTTCTTCCCATAAGTAAAGTTGCATTCCCATAAAATCTACCAGTAAACCAATTGAAACTTTTTCTTCCCAGTTGTCCTGAGGCAAAGATAAAATGAAAATTTCTCAAATTCAATTTCAATGAGTGGAGCACTAATGCTAGACAATTGATTTCGTTAACATTTCCGTGCATATGATACAGAGTATTGAGACTTATAAGGACTGACCAACCGGAGTGTTTGATTGGGTCATGTGAAAACAAAAATTTGGAAATTGAACATCTATGAAAGGAGTCTGCGATGATGGATACGGATTTTGCGCACAATACTGTGGAGTGAAAGGAGCTGATGCTGTGCAATTATTATTTGTGCTTTACATGATGTCCTTCAAAGTATGTGTCTCAGATCGGTAAAACGTATATGTCCTCTTATGGATATTTTAAAAGTTAAAATAATTTAAAAAATGACCGTTGGACCATAACATCTCGATTATTATTTATTACAACTATAACAGTGACACGTATTGAACTGTTTTTACAAATAATTAATTATGTGTCATCCACTTAAGGTGTTATTTCACTAAGCCGTTGAGATTCATTAAATTAAGAATTTACGTCTCTAGAAATCGAAAACCTATGGTTGAGAACGATATTAAAAGTCGGGTGTCAATATGTACACTTCTTATAACTCTCTCTAATGTTAGGTTAAATAGCATACAAGACAGTCAGTCTCCTTTTCTTAGGCCTCGTCTAATCTAAAATTATGTGTCATCCAATTCTTGTGTCATTTCACAAAGGCGTTGAGATTCGTTAGATTGAGCGTTAACATTTCTCCAAATCGCAAACCTATGCTTGAAACGATATTTGAAGTCAGTATAAATACAATAATTAATTGTACGCATTGTAAGAAAACACACGCGTATAGCCAGAAGGATGTACAACATTCCGTCAAGCTTGGGTTTTTGTTCGAAACACTGTTAGTTTTCTCTGTTAATTTAGGGCGGCCACATTTGGTATCCGTAAAGTTTGAACACTTCTTTATGACCATCTCGCCTTCTTTGCACTGTCCACAGCGCTCACAAGAGAAGGGGGAGTCAGCATGAGCCTCTGGCCTTAAAAAATAACCAGACTTACATCCCGCAACCGTGTCGCTTTGGCTGGTGCAGGGTCCCAATGTTATCTCGTTTTCTGCCTGAATAGGTTTATAACACCTGTAACAACTGGAACAATTATGTTGGCTGTGGTTCATGAATGTTCCTACTTGACATGGTAAACAAATATGTGTGTCAGAGGATAAATACTGTCCAGGTCCACATGGACCGCTGTCACATATTGTAGCGTAAGCTATGGCAGACAAGTGAAGAAGAATCAACACTTGTAATTTTATAAGATGGACAATTTTAAAGTGTTTCTTCATTGTCAAGGCCTATCAGAATGTCATAATAAAAAGGGTTACAATTAAAAATGATATAATTTGTTTTCATTTCCTTTTTCGTTTTAATATATACCTAATTATGTATATATACATATAAAAAAATGAGACTAGACAGTTCAAAGTATGTTTGTTTGAAATATGAGTCTAACGTTGCGCAATTCTTAAATGAGACAAGATATTGACATTACATAATAAAAACCGTTTATTGTGTCACAAAAGAAACAGCCAGTAAAAATAATTTAAATGTTAAAGGAAGACGATGAGTAAATGAATCATAACATATAAACTGAAACAATAAATAAGTTAACTTCAAAAATATTCTTTTTTAAACCTCGGCACATGACCACTTACAAATCTCTATGCAGCAAACGATTATCAATACATTAAATGTTATAATGATGACGAATTCTAAGTCATATTTTCTTTGATCCACTTCCATTTGTTCATACTTGATCGGGAAACAGATTGTGTCATTAAATCCATGACATTGTCGCAATATTATATCTCCCTCTTCACAATCTGTGCACTCATCACACCATAAAGTATGCTGATTGCTTTCATTAATCTTCATGTAAAATCCTGGAGGGCAGTACTTATAATCCTCAAGCACAGTAGTTGTTTTCAGTGCTTCTTGCACCCCCACGCATGACTCCTTTGTATCACTGTTTTCAAAGCAGAATCTCTTGGCAATTTTTGTTTCAATTAAAGATGGATTGGTAATTTCAGCATCAGTATTGACAGTAACAACTTTTACAAAAATAATGCTAGCTAATAAAAAAGAATAGTATAATATAGATGCCATTTGTTAGATGTGAACACGTGCCTTGTTAAAATATTGCTCATCATTGACCACTCAATGTTTTTTTGATACACAAGAGAATACCTTTCACCGTAATCGCTTATCCACATTTACTTGCCTATTTAAAATGAAGGCACTGTTGAAAGGAAAAAAAAATATATGATTAAAAACGACAATTTTATTGTGCTAACAAAATCAACTAGTATAGTTTTAAATATAATCGTAACCATAAAATAATTATATTTTCTTATATATTGTAAACTAATTGATTCGCTCCTACTACGAAGATAAAATATATTTTAAGTGATTTGTTAAGTTAAAAGTTATTTATATCCTTACTTCTAGAGATATTAAGTGAGAAAAGCGTATATAAAACCTACAGCTTAATCGGAACAGAAAGAATGTATAAATTATATTTCCTTAGAGATATCATACACAGTGATTAAATTAACTTATTATAACAAGTTAACTGCAAAGCAAAAATATTACCTTTTTTTTCGTCGACTACGATGAATCGCCTTACATTACGATTATTTGTTTTTTACTATTAACAAATCATTGACCAGCAATTTCTGCTAAGTAAAAAGTATTTTCTCTCAATTAGCAGCTTCGTCCTCTTATAGTGGTTTATTTGGTACAATGCCATGTTATGACACCATTGTATTACGTTATACTCCTGCAATAATCATGAAATGTTTATAACCCTCATTTTTCAAACGGTCCTTAAAGAATTTTAATGTCTAATGTTTATAACCCATAGCAAAAATATGGTATGTGACACATCCTGCAGCCTTTTACTTTGCTGCCACTTCTAAAACAAAACAATGTATCATATATATATAAATATTTTTGTGTATATATATATATATATATATATATATATTTATATTTATATACATATCAAATATGCATCAATGTGAATCAGCTTTGTTTAGTACTACTTTTAAAAATATGCTACAATTAAAGAGGTTTTTTTTGTGTTTTTTTTCTTTTTTCTTGTTTTTTTTTTGTAAATCAATTATATTAATTGCTACAGTGACTACAAAACGTAATGTGGTTTGAAAGTGTCTTATTAACAATTTGCCATACGTGAACACGAAAATTATTTCTTTTGACTTCTTTTCGGTAGATGGCCAGCCGTTTACCTCACTTTAGACAAGACAGTCATCTGCAAATAGCCTCACTTGAGATTTTACAGCATCAGGGATGTCCTTCATGTGACAGAGAAAGAGGAGTAAAGATGTTAAAACTCTTCACATGTAACTAAATCAATAACGCATTCTTCACTTTTAAACTTATTCCGACGTGCAACAGAACAAGGGTTTGGGGGGGGGGAGGAAGAAATTGAAAAAGAACACTCCAATAAGGAATTAGCTTGAATTGAAAGGAAGTTTGGGTAAAAGCAAGACAAAAATTTCTGAAGCAATTATAGAATGCCTATGAAGTATAGGGATGGACACATTAGGGAGGAAACATTTAAATTGACGAGGAAGTTCAAATTCAAAATTTTTAATTTTTTTAATCATTATATATTAATTTATAAGTAAATGGTTTCAATTTATTTCGTATATGATTCTTTAATTAGTTTCATAATATAACCACACCCAGTCTTAACTTCGCTTGCTAGTCTGACATCGTTTGGTCCATCATCAGCACCTTATTTCTGCTGCATATTTTGACCAAACATTGGAAACGCTGTATGGCTATCCTAAAATTAGAATGTTAGCTCAGCAACCTCTTCGGACACATGAATTTTTTTTAAAAAAATGACCTTTGTTGTGTTCAGATAGGTCGCAATAGGAAACTGTTGAATGATTCATTGTGGAGATACAAGCTAAATGAAAATAAATGCAGGACTGCTTTCAATCTGTGTGAACGATAAAGACGGTCATCCAGGGGTGAATATATCTGTTAAACATTTAAACTAATTTTAATTTATACATTTTTTTTTTAAATTGACAGTGTGTAGTATTGTTTTCTTGTCACGCATTTAAACCAAGTAATAAATGTTTAAATCAAATTATCTTTTTTTCGATTTATTCCAAAGATATCTGTTAACTGCTATGAAGTACTTCATTTTAATGGGATGTGGCTTTTAAAAAACTGTATATATAATTATAAATAAGTATACCATAAATAGTATGCAGCTCTATTTCAAATGAAATAGAGCTGTGTGACATTAAAATGAACATTAAGGTTTTTACGACATGTCGCTACAGGTTCTGGATCAGTGGTTCTCAACCTTCCTAAAGCCGAGATCCTTTAATACAGTTCCTCGTGTTATGGTGACAATGATCTTAGGCGATGCCTGTTTACGGGTCTTTCGGCCCCAGGGTTGATAACCGCTCTTCTAGATCATAAAACTGATTATAGTAACAAGCTCTGGCTACAACAAATGATACTTAACAAATTGAGATAAGACTACATAGGTCAACTATTTTATTAGGCCCATAAATAATCTCCTACTGTGTTTTCTTTAAGTAAACAACTAAATTTAACTCCAATTTCGAAGAGAGAACATGCTAGGCCTTTATTTAAAAGGTGTGCACCAAAACCTGAACTGAAAACCTTACAGTAAACGATGTTTGAAAGTGCAAGGAATAAAGGTTTTAAAAATTGCCAAATGGAAAATTAACTTATATTTAAAAGTCCATCCTCAGGACGGAAAAAAACATGGCGTGGGTTTTTTTGTTTGTTTTTCTTTAAGACTCTAACCTAGTTTCATAGACATCAAATCACCTCTCCAAAAGCACCTGGATAGCAATAGAGAACACCATATATTGATGATACAGCTTAGCACCAGTTTTTATTATAGCATCCGTCTCTTAGATAAGTTGCAATAAAAGGGTAATGTGTCCCTAGCTGCTGATGTTATTCTTCGTTGACATGGTATTTGGTGGGAATGGTACTCAGGACCACAAGCTTGGGATTATATTACATTATATCCAATTAAATAGTTTACATTTTTTACATAGTACTTGTTTTTTTATTATGATTCAGAAGTTCTTTTCCTCCTGTGTTGAGATATTATGGAATCAAGAATCTCTTAATAGCATTAAAACACATAAACTAATTAACAGGAAATTCAATAGAAAAAAATATCAATGCAATAAAAATGTAACCTACAAAATGTACTCCGCATGCTTGCGAACTACACACTTTACCACTTATTTTAAAGTTATAATGCTTTATTTTGAATTCAAACAATAAGTACACCTATTTTTCCTTTATTTTTAAAGGCAATTCGTGTTATTGCAAAATTTTAATTACACATTAATGAAACAGCGTGTCAATGTGGGACTGAGATAGGCCTATATGATATTACCAGATGCTGTTAAAAAGTACATTTTATTTGTAACAATCTCTTCTATTTTACAAAAGAGCAATCACTAAAATATATGTATAGTGCGTCTTTCGCCCACAATTCATTCAGTATAGGATCATCAAAATATGTGTGAGTCTGTCACAATTGCAGGCACTGGTAAAAGCGAGTTTCTTTAAGTTACATTATTGAAATTATTAACTTTAAGTTAAAATTTAATGAGAATATCTAAGTTGATATGACATGTATTTTCTTCTGTTAATTTGTGTGTGAAAATTATTCATTTTAAATAAATTACAAAATCTTTATATTAAAACCCAGAGAGAGAATGCCGGATACATTAATAATCAAATTCAAACACAATAACGCAGACCAGTTTAACCATTTAATAAATAGTTTATTCAAATATGTTCTCTTTTAATAAAGAATTTTTCGCCCATATTGACGTTTTTGGTCTTTATCTTTTTCGACTTAAATGTAAGATCTAGTTGAAATCCCCTACCCTCCACTCCAACACCCTGAAGGGAATATTAAGCACATAATTAGGTAAATTTGCCACGTGGAACAAAACAAAAGATTTAGAGTAGTAGCACTAATAAAATATATCCCCCCCCCCACATACACAAATTGACATGCAGCATTAAGATAGACAGACAAAGAAGACCAAAGTATTAGGGTACTTAATTTTCTTTATCATAACTTAACGGGAAAATCGTCAATGATATTTACAAGGAAAACTAAAATAACGGGATTCTATTTCGCAGAATCTACTTAGCATGGACTGAAACATAATAATAATAAGAATCATAAGACTTTGTTTTTGACATTTTTATTCCGCGACTTTTTATCATCGTTTAATAA